GCACTTGTTCCTAGTAGCTTCTTGTTACTACTAGTAAGGCACTTGTTCCTAGTAGCGATGCACTTGTTCCTAGTATAGCTTCTTGTTACTACTAGTAATGCACTTGTTCCTAGTAGCTTCTTGTTACTACTAGTAAGGCACTTGTTCCTAGTAGCTTTTACTTTTTGCAGGTAAAGGTGCAAGGTGTCAGATGGGACCGTGAGAAATGTGGACATGGTACGTGGGTCCAAAGTCTAAGTGTGTTGCTAGGTGCGACCTACGTCACCTTTTGCCGAGAAGGGTTACAGTGACAAAGGCTACGGTTGGAAGGGCGGCTATGGTGGGAATGATGGAAAGAGTTACGGGAAAGGCTATGGCGATGGAAAGGGCTATGGCGATGGCAAGGGGTATGGCGATGGCAAGGGCTATGGCGACGGAAAGGGCTATGGTGACGGAAAGGGCTATGGCGATGGCAAGGGCTATGGTGGCTGGGAGGTGCAAAGCGGAGTTGTTTTTGGCAGTTCAAAAGAAGCGTGATGTTTGTACACAGTGTCTGGACAGGGACAAAAAAATACACAACTGGTCTTACGTACTTGGTTGCAACATATTAGCTGTGGTTGTTTTGAACATGAGCACCTTGGCTTGCAGGGCCGCCAGTACCAAAATTGGCGCAACTGGTGAGGCAAAACAAAAAGGAACGGGCTCCGAAAATCTATCACAACACGACAAAGCATTAGCAGAACACACTTTTTGCAATTCTTTTGCTGCGCAATTGTTCTGGCTCAGTGGGGTACTTGGAACAATTTTGGGCCGGGTCAGGACCTCAGTGCTGTTTTCAGAAACATTCGGTGTGTTTCCAAACGTTTCATTTTGACAGGCCGGACAGGGGCCTTCGGCTGTTGGGGATCATGGCCTCTATGCTGCAGAAAAGAAAAGACAAGAGGACGAACGCATAACGTTCCTAGTAGCGTCCTTGTTCCTAGTAGTAAGGCCAGGAACCCCTAGTAGCTTCTTGTTACTACTAGTATAAGGCACTTGTCACTAGAAGCGATGCACTTGTTCCTAGTAGCTTCTTGTTACTACTAGTAAGGCACTTGTTACTAGAAGCGATGCACTTGTTCCTAGTAGCGAACAAAATGTAAACATGAAAACATCAATTGTGTTTTTGGCTTTGCTCAAGTGAAGGACACTTTGTTGTGCGCAGGCCACAAAGCCGGCAGTCTGTGGCATTGACTTTGGGGCCTCTGAGCGGCTTGACGTTGAACACAGGTCAAACTGAAGTCACAGACACCATGCTTCAGTTTGACTTCTTCCTATGTTTTGTTCCTAAGAAAGTAACTTCCTTTTGCTCCGCTTCAGTTCCTTCGGTTTCAAGTTTGTCAGGTCATATGTTGCTTACGTCGGCAAGGGCATTGTAGACATTGTGCAGAAGGAGGTGCTCAAACAGCACATGTGGACTATGTGGAAAGAGCAAAGACTGGACAAGAACCCTTCTTTTGCTTTCAAGAACACTCTTGAAACAGTATCATAAAATCATCAGTTATAAGTTAAAACATCAGTTCCAGCTTCCTCTCTTTCACACTTTCCCAGGTGTCCAAGCGGGCCACCCCCAACGTTAACCGGCTACAACGACCGGGAGCGGCTGCTAGGTGCACAGAGTGGTAAGAACGGAAGACGACACGACTTGGTGTCTAAAGCTGGTGGACGACACAATCGTTTTCGCTTTAGAGAAACACAGACCCCGTTTGCAGCTTCTTCCAACTCTGGTGCGAACTCACTGTCGAGACGGAACGCACAGGAAGAAGGCATTATGACTCATGACTTTGACAAAACATAGTAAAGCATTATGAAGGTCATTCTTGTGCATGATTTTGTTTCAGTGGTGCATGTTTGTTGCGATAGTATAGTGATGCTGTCATCATGTCATTTGGCTGAAAAGGAAGGGAGACGGAGGAGAAGGAAGAAGAGGTCTTGCAATGGATAACAGGAATAGCAAAATAGACTTAAACAGAAAACATAAACCTAATGGCGATGGCCTACAATCTAAGGGGAATGGCGAAATAGACTTAATACAGAAATGACGCCAGGATGGCTTGGAGGCCTTTCAGGTTCGAGCATGGTAGCGGAGCGGCGATCCCCACTCGTGCAGTTTGGGGTGAGCTCTAGCGGACCGGAGGGCAGGACCCACACTCTCTTTTGCTCGCGCCCCGCCTTTCTCGCGCGCCCGTGCGGGGCCACAAACTAGCGTGGCAATCAGTGCTGGTGGCTACCACACAAGGCTGATCAAGATCTTTCCCGATTGGATCCTTGCCTACATCCTTGAGATTGGCCTGACCTTGGTGGAGCGCCTGACGGCCCTTTTGCCTTGACAGAGAGCAGGTTCTTGAGGTTGCTTTGGCTGGAGGTGGCCCAGGAAAGCTTCGACGCGTAGATGGCAAGGACAGTGTTGCCCAACGGGAGTTCAATGTCAAGGCAGTTGGTACAGTCTACAACATAGCTGACTTGGGAACGAAACCAATGACGAGATCAAGGAGTGATTTGATCTTGTATTGGCGCCGGAACTATGATGCACGTGGACAGCATCTGGGATACAGTCGGCAGGAGGAAGACCCAACGAATTGCCAAGTTCTTACAGAGAATCATTCTTCTGGAGGGCCTTGAGCACGTGGCTGGGGGAAGAGTAGAAGATGAGATTGAGATCAATTCTGGATCAAGTGCGAGCTGGTTGGTATTGTTTACATTGTTCCTCGGTGTCCTGGTCATGGTACTTTGTGACATTGTATACAAGCTGTGGAAGAGGCTTGCAGCAGTTGAAGACGAGCTCATCGAGATCAGCGAGTTGATGGCGTGATGATTGGGGCCTACGGCCCTACGGCCATGAATCCCAGTTGGTAAGGCAATATGCTCAGTCACCGCATTCACCGAGGCTTGATCAAGGCCTCAGGTTATGTGGATTCAGATGAGGCGGAGCCTGGAGATTGGCTCTATAAGGGCTACATCCAAAAGAGCAACAAGGACTTCGACTATCGACGTCTTGGTGCACAAGCGCATGCCTACTTGGAGAGCAAGAGGCAGAATGCCAGGATCAGTCTACCAGATGGCAGGCCGATTGACGCCCATCCGATGGAAGAGAATGAGGAAGAGCTTGGAGAAGATGAAAAAGCCACTGTGCAACTCGACTCAGGAGAAGTTGTTGAACTGTTCAGGCGCCAGCAAGAATTGTACAAGTTAGTCAACCAGAGAGCGAAAATGAAAGTGATGTTGTCAACACGACGATGCCGGAAGAAGTTCAAACAGATGGAGCACCGAGGCCATTTGGGGGAATAGGCCCTACAATGCACCAGGCCACAAGTGCTCGCATTCCAGATGGTGAATTCAGAATAATAACGCTTGAAATGTTGGACCGTGTAAAGGTTCGTGCATGTTTGAAAGCTCAACAGACCAGAGAGGGGACACTGAACTCAAATTGAAAGTTTACCAGGATATGGATGCTCACTACCCCTTTCTGGACTGTTCGGATTTCCCATCAGAGGTCATGAGGGAGTACAGAAATGAAGCCATGATGAAGCCATGATGGCATGGCGTGATGACACGCACATGTCGAGAAGTGTGGTGTTGGAGGCTTTTGAGGTTCGAGCGAAAAATCCGCACTTAAACAGACTGTCCTTTCCCATCCTTTCATCACGCTCTCTTTTGAGAAATGGTTGAAACGAAGGGAAGACAGCGCAAGCGAAGCAATGGCAAGGGAAGAACTGGACCAAAGCTGAAAGCTTTTTGCGTTAGGAAAGCTATGCGCATTGTTGCAGAACGTGTCGAGATGATATGGCATGAAATTAGATGACACGCTTGGAAGGTAGTGGAAGGACGAAAGAAACAAGGAGAACGGAAATAAATTAAGTCTAACTAGGTCTTTGGAAAGCAGAAAGGAATAGAACAGACGCTGAAACAAGGCAGAAAACAAAACAACATTTTTGTTAACGTTCTCCCAAGATAGAACGGATGGGAGCCAGGGGATGCCGCCTTGGCGCAGATCCGTTCCAATGCCAAGAGCACCTGCAGAAACTTCAAACATTTGCACCTTGGTCAAAGAGAGCGTCTGCAAAGAGCGTCTTTCTGCAGAGAACAGAGTTTATATAAAGTTGTGTTTTTCTCTTCTCATTCGCCCACAGGAGATTTCCATCAAAGTTTGGCTTTCCATCAAAGCCGGAGACTTTGTGTTGCGTGGTTTCGCCTTTCAGGCTCGGGCGAAAACTGGAGTCTCCTGATCTGCCCGAACCTCAATAAGCGACAAAGACAAAAGATAGAGAGAAGAATCAAAAAAAATAGCGCAAAAATAAACCAAATAAGCATGGCCTCCAACCAAAGAGCGATAGTTTCCAACCGAATAGGAATTGCCTCCAACCCCTTAATGGAATGGCCTCCAACCGCATAGCGATGGCCTCCAACCTAATAGCTATCGCCTCCAACCTTTTAATAGGAATGGTCTCCAACCTAATGGCTCTGGCCTCCAACCTGATAGCGATTCCCCCCAACCTAATAGGAATGGCCTCCAACGTAACAGGAATGGCTTCCAACCTAAGAGCGATGGCCTCCAACCTAATAGGAATGGCGTCTAACCTAGGCACGAAGCATATCCAATCGCCAAATGGATGGACAGGGCGTGTGATAGAGCCATGTCGGGGTCTGGGGTGCTCCAGAGACCCACATCCACCAGACTTGATGCAGACCATCATGAGTTCGATGGCAGTCTGCAGAAGGCCTGTCCCCACCACAACTTGGCGGTGTTTCCTTTTCAGTGATGGCAGCCCCGGATTGGAGCGATCCCGTAGCCCAGCCATCGTGGGGCCCACCCCCACCAAGAACCTGGACAGGATTCTGTCCTGAGTCCGTTCGTTGCCATGGTTTTTGATCTGAAGATCGTCCTTCCTAAAACCGGAGAAGAAGTGCACAAAAACGACTGACGCAGTCGAGATTTTGACATCCCACACTGAAAGTGAGTCCATGTTATAAATGCCCAAGGTCCTTCAACGGTCCCCATACTCTGATTGAAGACATGGGATTCCCTTGGCACTGGTGGGGCTACAGGAGTTCGGCACTAACTTTCCCAACTTGCTCCCGAACTGCACTGCCAGACACTGCCAGACACTGCCAGACTGGCAACAGACGGATTTTTCGCACTTGCAGTGCCTCGCAAGCTGGCACCAGGCACCAGCTGGCACCCGGCACCCGCACCGGAAGATGGTTTTTTTTGGCCCCAGATCTCGTTGCTCCACCCGACTCTCTCAGACGGTGTCCGCTAACTGCTGCATGCAGGCAGTAACAAGAACGCTACTAGTGCTGTAGCAACCTGTGCCGGACGTGATACTCCTTGGAACAAGCGAGGCATGTACTTCCAGCAGTGCCCAAAAGCGAACTTTAGGCTTATAGCCATCCATGTGCGGAGAGTGCATATACAGCCCTCGCCTGGAGCAGAACTCGCACTGGTATGCTCTTTTAGGTCTGCAACTGGACCAAATCGCACCCCGTGTTCAGAGTACTGTCTGTCCATCAACGCCCATCTCTTAGAGGCATTTCGATGTGACCGAGTTGCGGCTTTCTTGTTTCTAATAGCTTCTTGTTACTACAAGTAAGGCACTTGTTACTAGAAGCGAGGCACTTGTTTCTAATAGCTTCTTGTTACTACAAGTAAGGCACTTGTTACCATCCAGCAGCCCGACCAAAGCCAAGCTGAAGATCGTTCAACAGTAAATCTCACATCCTTTTTGTTAGAAGCATAATTTAACTTATTTTAGTTTGTTTTCAGGCAGAATTTGTTCATGCTTTGTTGGGCCGAGAAATAGAGCAATGTCGAGTTCGGCCATGTTCGGCCTTGACTCGTGAGGAACTATCGCAAGGCCGCGGAGCAGCCGACGGAGAAGCGGAAGCCTCAGAAACGAAACAGAAAGAACGACCTGTCAAACGAACAAAGCATTCATCGGGAAAGAGAACACAAAGGATGTGCCTTATTTGAGGATTGACATGTCTCCAAAGAAGGACATAGGGAAAATGGGAAGGTGGAAGATTGCACAAGGTTGTTTGACATGCTGTGCAGTGTGGAAAAAGGAGAGATCTGAGGTATAGCCACATTGCGAAAGAGAAACTTGAGAAGATTCTGAACGCTTGCAAAGAGTCAGGGACCGAAAACGACGGCGAAACCGTGCAACGCCGTGCGATGCCGTGTGCTCCATCGTGTCACTGTGCGCTCCAGTCGAGAAGGAACCAGAACCGATGCGGTATCCGCGACCAGAGCGCCCGTTGAAGGTCGATGCCGGTGTCGTTTGACCCATGAGACAGGGGGTTCTCCGGGAAGGTATCGCAACATGATCATCGGTTTCACAACATTGTCATTTGATGACAATGTGATTATATTGGGGTGGGGGGGAGGGGTGGGGAAACCCAGAGAAAACAATACAAAAAGGACGTCGTTGGATTTTCACAATGCAATGAGGTATGCGATTTTGCACCGTGCCAATGTATCAAGCAGGCGTTGTGGTCGCCTTGAGAAAGACAAACCACGTGACTCACCTCGGACCTCATTTCGGACATCCTCAGAACACACACGGTTTTTACTGTAAGAGTGAAAGACACGCCAACTCATTATTCCATGGCGAAACATAGGTAGGGTTTCAAGCGCATCCACATGTTTCTTTCGCGCGTGCTCGAGAATCAGAACATCAAAATTACAAACAGATTGCATACAATGCCTCACAAAAAAGCTCATCACTGAGAGCCTTTGCCAAGACTCAACATGCGCGAACATATTTGAAATCTGTTCGCGCAACTTGATGCTTAAGATACTGTGTGACTGGAAATGAGTTATGTTACTTAGCGAACTTATAAATTAAGTTGTGTCATTAATGGAAGTGCAGCCATAGGCATATAGTATGTACAGACTGTATATCATGTGTGTGACGACCGCCATATGTTTTGGCTCAAGTGCGCCCTTCAGAGAAAAGGTCCGTGAGTGCTTTTACTTTTGACGGAGTGCAGGATAGCTTTGTAAGCCTTCCGGTTACAAGGTTAATATCCACACGCAGGTTATCAGCCGTAGCCACTCAGAGGCTAAGAGTTTGAAAGAAACCAAAAGAGAAGATTGTCGACATTAGACCTGCAATGTCTAGTTCCGGAGGAAAGAGCAGTGAACAGTTTTCCTTGGCTGCACCTGGAGGAACTATGTCTCAGTCGTCGCCAGGATCATTGACTGGTGCGAGTTCAGCAGATGCTACAGTAATGACCATGCCGACAGGATCACAAGTATCAGGTGAAGGCAGAGTCGCTCCACCGGAGACGACATCTGCTGGATCCGACGCAAGAACAGGCAATGCAAAGAGGACATAAGAGACTTACGAGATCAACATCGCCAAGAACGAATATGGAAGATCACCAAGCACTGAAAGAGTTGAGATCGAGGACGCGAAAGGCTTCGAAGAAAGAGAGATCCAACTCATCGAAGAGCTACGATCAGCCAGTGTTTCGTACCAATACCTGAATGATCTACATGCTGGATAGGCAAAACTCTTTTCTGAATCTCACGAGGATTTTTTGCAATGGACAAGGTGCAACAAGTCCATGCGCAATCACCTACTACAAGAGATGATGCAAGAAGATGAAGGAGCAACTATTAGAATTGAAGAACGAACTGGAACGGAAGCTCCGACTCGCTGAATCAATGGCAGATCACATATATTCAAAGTATCAAGAACTTGCTCAAGAAAGCCATGAAGAGCATTCACAGCTCGACGAAGTGAGATCCAAGATAGAAGACATTACCCATGAGATGCAAAGGGCCTTTCGTTACATCCAAGAGCAGAATCAGAACTCTGATGCTACCAATCGACGTGCTCACAGCCTACGTGAAGAAAACCAAGCAATGGTTGACGTTGCAAATGGTCTTCAGTTGCGGACGCTGGAGCTGCAAGATGAGAATAGCAACATGTTGGAGGTTAGCTCAAAGGGGAAGAGAGAAACAATGGAGTAACGTGATGCAACAAGGACAATTGGTCGAGGAAATAGCTGAGACTACCGGTCATCAGTATCAGGAACAGAGAATGGTTGAACACCTTCGTGGGCAACTGGCGATCATCAAAGGATTAGAACTGAGTGCCGCTGCAGAGATGAACGCGCGTGACTTTGAACAGAAGACTGAAATCCACGGATATCAGTTGGAAATCACCGAGAAGGAAATGAGAGCAACGCAAATTCAATATGAAGCGAGAGTGATCCTAGACATGCATTTGATCAAGTCTATTTGGTCGTTGATACGTTTGGCATGTTCAAGGCCATTTGTTTAGGTTTTTTCATTTGTTCGAGATTTCTTGAACACCCACCCACCCACCCACTAGAAACCCATTGTGTTTTGATGCAAAGCGCATGCTATTTCTGGTGTGTTGACATTGGGCTTTGCTAGAATTCCATTGTGGTTTGTTGCTAATTGCAAGCTATTTCTGGTGTGTTGACATTGGGTGTTCCTAGGATTCCATTGTGCTTTGATGCAAAGCGCATGCTATTTCTGGTGTGTTGAGCTAGAAATCCATTGTGGTTTGATGCAAATTGCATGCTTATTTTGGCATGTAGACTTTGTGTTTTGCTAGAATTCCATTGTATTTGTATGCAAATCTCATGCTATTTCATGTATGTTGACATTGGGTTTGATATACATTTGTTGGCATGTGGTGTTGCTGGAACCGGTTGCAGACTTCTGGGTCCCTGGGAACTTTGTACGCAAACCAGCAAGCCCCACCCAGCCCACGACAATTTGAATATTATTGTGTTTTTGTTGCTAGCTTACCACCAAGCCCACATTTCAGCAGCAGATGCACTTCTTTGGTCACTGGTACGGTGTTTCCTCCTAGCTCAAATTCAATTCAATGTTTGTTTGAATGGTTCTTTGTTCCAGCAGAAGTTTTTCTTCCCAACAGGGAGTTGTGTTTGGCACGCCTTGTTTCTGTGACTTTTTCTTGGCTTTATCCAGCTAGCGTTTCTTTGAAGGGGGATGTTGGGTTTCAGAGTGTTTAAGTGTTCCCCTTGTCCCAAAGTTTTTCTGGTTGCTTGGGTCTGGGTTTATGCATTAAGCTGCTGAGCCTGCAGCTCCTTTTGGAGTACAAGTCACCGGTTCCAACAAGATGCATTTACAAAAGGGAATGAGGAGCAGGTTTGATTGCTGAAGCACAAGCCCCTCTACAAAACTTGCAGCAACTAGTGTCACTAGAGAGGCAAACAAAAGGTGAAGACTGGACATGACCGCGCCATGGATGGACGCCACATCCACACTGCACGAGCTTTTTGATGCTCCTCTACAAGGTGTGAATCCTGCACTGCTGACGTTCAGTGGTTCAGCTTTTAGTGCAGACTTGTGATGCTTGGTGATGTTTTCTTCATCTGCAGCCATTTGGTCGGGATGGTTGTGTCAAAAATAGATGGGTTTGAATATAGTGCTCATGATGTTGCACTTCAATTTGCACAGTATGAGCGCCTCAAGAAAGCACCTATGATGCAACTATGTAATTATGCACTGCTCAATGTGTGGGTTCCTTTTTTGCAGCAGATTCTGAAATTTAACCATGCCTAGCTGCCTAGGTAGGCTTAAGCTTCTGCGTGGATCACTCTGGCCGTGTATTCAAGCGCAAGGGGACCAAAGCTGTCACACTTTTGGATATTACTTCAAACCCGGAGGAACCTTTGGACCATTTTGGTGGAAGGTTTCCTTTTATGTGTTGAGAACATACTGTTCCCACATTTTTTTGACAATTTTGGAACTTTTACTCCATAGACTTGGGTTTTTGCTTGCTTTCTGAGGTAGTGGCTGCCATTTTGCGCGCAAGCCGTGGCAAGGGCTGGTATTCTATGGCTTTGATGTCTGAAGCTATTGGCATCTTCTATCAAGACCATGGCCTTTACCCTCCTGGACTGAGTTCTGGGTTGCCAGCGGTTGAGGAATGGCTGAGCAAGATGGGATTGGCCTGTGTGCGTTTGGTTCCTTGATCCTGTTTCCTTGCAACATGTTCACCTTTTTCTTGTCTCAATAGTGGGTGAGGGGGCTCATGTGTAATGAGCCAAATGCTACAAGGCAGGGCGCTTTCGGCATTTGGTTCGCAGATCCAAAACCAGCAAGAAAGGAGGATTGAAGTGGATTCGAGACCAACTTGACGGGTGGGTTGAATCTTGACTCTGCTCAGTGAGTGTTTTGGATTTTGATTTCATATATTTAGGGGGTTATTGTATATGTCACTTGCCTTTTCATTATTGTGTTGCCAGGATATGAAAGTGCTTGTGGCTGATGCAGACAAGAGTGATGAGGTTGATGACGACCTGAGCTCTTCTGTCAGCTCTTCAATGCCTGACTCATTGCTGGCGATTATCAATGCTGTGAAGGAGGAGTTTGGCAGTGCAACTACCGTGCCAAGACCTGAGCCTGTTTCCAACCAGATTGAAGACCTCAAGGAGAAGGGCAAACCATCTCAGAAAAAGACAGAGAAACCTCGGCCATCGTTGCTACCCCCTGAAGTTTCCTGACTTTGTTAGATTTTGTGTTGGGTCTTCTCGGGGGCAACCATGGGTGTTTAAAGTTTTTGTTTTGGGTGAAAGATGTTCATGTCTCCAAGATTGTTTTTCCAAACTCTTTCAGGTTTTGGCGGTACTCCAAAACCTTCCTTGCCCTGAGCCAGTTGCAACTGTTGGGACTGAGCCTGATGCAGAGGTTTGTTCCAAGAAAAAAGGTAAGGGAAAAACAAAGAAGAAAAAACGTCAGCCAAAAAAAGGGTCTGGGGGAAAGAAGTTGCCGGGTGGAGAGGTCTCTTCAAAATCCACCGGCAAGACTTTTGGAGCATATAAACCGGGGGATTTCAATGATGTCTACCGGAAATTCCTGCAAAGGGAAAAGGAATCTGGGGTGTCCCATGCTGAAGCCAACAAAGCATGGAAAGGATCCAAGGAGAGATCTGATTTGCTGGCTGAAATGCCAGAAGCAGAAAAGAAAAAAAGGCGGTTCACTTGATCGCCGAAATCTTTTGGGGTAGAGCAAGCCCTGATGGCGTGCCAAGATCCAAACTGTGGGGAAATGAAAAGAGCCGCTTGGGTGTGTGTGTGCACTGATGTTTGCAGCCCTCTAGCCAATTGATTTTTGCCTTTAC